TCGAATATGACATATTACAACAATACCACTTAAGCCTGTGGCTGTGAGCATTTAATGAGCCAACATACATAAAAACTGTCTAGGCACAGTGTTTGTGGGGCACTGAAATCAGTAATTGCTATATTCAGTCCCAGCCTTCTATTTGATTATCGTTACTGAGGCACCAAGGATAAGCAAAAATTCTGGATCATCAAGAGCAACCTTAATGGTCGTTTTGCTCTGTCTCTGAGGTTCCGGTGGCGCAAAACGAATGAAGGTGCACTTTCTCCACGCCCCTGCTTGTAGGGAGCACAAAACACTAAACAGAAGAATGTCAAAGCTGGAGCCGAACAGGAGCTGCTGGGATAGCCCTTCTCACCATCTCCTGCTTTACTCTGAAATCAAGAGTCACCATTTTGCATTCCACCTGGCAGTTTCTCCTGGAACTGGTTCTAACTTCCCAGCAAATCTCTTTACATTTCCCAATCATGAGCAGTTTAAAACTATTATTCATTTACTCAAAACTCATTCAACAAATATTTATAGAGCACCTACTGTGTGTCAGACACTGTTCTAATCTGTTGGGAGACAGCAATAAACAAAACAAATATTCCTCTGACACGCACTTCGTTTCCATGGGCATTCGCTGCATCCTAAGCGCGACACAGCGACCGCGTCCCAGCCCCGGATAGGCGCTGCGGCGATATGGGGGCCTGTCACCTGCCCTGGGACGCAGGCCCCACCCTCCCCGCCAGGGAGGCAGGCGGATACCGGCCACCGCCAGCCCAGGTGCACGAGCGCCAGGCCCAGGAGGCGCTCGCGGCCCAGAGCTAAGCCCCGAACTCCGGCTTCTCCGGGAGACCGCAGCCAATCCCGGGCCTCGCCAAGCCGCGGCTCGAGAGCCCCCGCGAGTCGCGGACGATCCGCGGAGGGACGGAGGCCAGGGTGTGTTTCAGCGCCAGGGCCCAGAGGGCCACGCCACGCGGAGCCTGCGGGCCCGACTCTCGCGACCCGGACTCTCCTCCTCCCCACACCCCCATCACCCCCAGGGATCGGTAGTTTGAGGGGGCCCCGCCACACTGGCCGCCCCGAAGCGGAGAGAGGCCCGCACTCACATTCCGGGCCCAGAGGTGGAAGGCAGCTAGAGGAGGAACTCCAGGGAACCACAAACCGCAGGGTCGCCGGAGCTGCCCAGGATTCACAGGAACCTGGGGAAAAAACGGGCTGAGGGGCGGGGAGGGGCGGTGCCAAGGGCGGCTCCGCCCACCGCAGGCCCTGCCCAACCATCCTTGGTCTTGACTGTAGGCGAAGGCTTCAAGGCTCCTTGGGAGATCGCTCGCTTACTCAAAACTCGAAGTTGATTAGACGTTACAATTAATTGTTTGCTGAAGCAAAATAAATTCTTGAAGCGTAACAGAATTAAAATAGTTGAGAAAATTTATACCACTGTCTGAACTAGGTAAACATCATCATGAAAGTAGTGACTTGCTAGCTCCTAAGCATTCGTATTTACAGCGCTTTTAATGTACACACTCCCGGAGTCATTTCACATCTTTGAGTTCATGCTCACAATTTTGTAACGTTTTTAGGACCATTATCTCCATTTCGCAAATGAGAAAAACGCGATTGAGTAGTTTGAGGTTTGGTAGTCAAATAATTTGACTTCTTGCCTAAAGTCACAAAATCTAAGCAAACTAGCAAACGCCCCGCTTGCGGCTACTCTATGCTGCCTACAGCTAAACAAACTACTGTGGAAAATACAGCTACATTTCAATGCTTGAAATTTAGAACTCTGCCCAAGAAAAACAGAGACAAAAATTACTACGTAAACACAATGGAAAAAATATTCACTACAAACCTGACAGTCGAAGAAAGGGTTATTATCTTAAGTAAAAGTTGACTTAAAAAAAAATGGACAAAGGATACTTTTTTAAATTATAGAAGAAAAGGATAATGAAACATGAAATACAGTCTTTAGTAAGTAAAAACTTTTAACCCAAGAGATGCAATCTAAACACAAATACTGATATCAACACAAGTGAAGATTCATTTATTCATTCAACACCTCATGGGTGCCTACGATATGCCAAGCATTGATCTAGATTTATGATAAACTAGTGACAGACAAGAAGCTTCAGTCTTGGAAGACAAATAATACTTAAGTTATTAAAAACAAGATGATTCCAGATAGTTCTAAGTACCATGAGAAAAGTAATACAGGATGATGCGACAGAGGGACTTGGGCATGTTGGGGATTTATTTAGACTGAGGATCAGGGAAGGTTTCTCCAAGGTGGTGATACTTGAACTGAGACCTCAAAAATAAGAAAAATTAAGTCATGCAAAGATGTGAGGTTAGCAGAATGATAGCAGGGGCAAAGGCAGGACTTTAGCAAATTACAGGAACAGAAACAAGGCCTCGGTAGTTGAAGCATAGTAGAGAGGAAAGAGAAGTATTTTGTTTTTACTAAAGGTTGGTAAGAACACCTTTTTATTTTACTTTTGCTACTGTTTTTTACATTTAAGTGATGAGCCTCAAGCACCACTACTTTAAAGGCAAGTTTCAAAATTTCCAAAATACATATTTCCCATACCTAACCTTCATGACTTTTGGCTCTGCTAAAATAGGAGGTAATAGAGAGCAGATAATGGTTTTATATTTTTAATACCCAATAAGCAATGTCATTGTTACTTCATCTAGTCTTACAGCTTTGAAATCCCTCTATATTCTGAGGGCTACCAAACACCCAGACCCTGAAACTCCAGATTCCAACTCCCTGCTCTGTACTGGGTGCTGTATGAGTTATTTATTGCTCTGTAACAGATTATACCAAAGTCAGTGGCTTCAAACTAAATAGTCATTTAGTATCTCACAGATTCTATGGTTCAGGAATTTAGGAATGACCTAGCTGGGCAGTTGTGGCTCATCATCTCTCAGGACTCTGCAGTCAGCTCTTAGGCAGGGCTGCAGTTACACCAGGCTGGAAGATGGACTTCAACATGGCTTACTTGCATGTAACAGTGGTGCTGCTTGTCGGGGGGAGACCTCAGTTCCTCTCCCTGTGGACCTCTCAATCGGACTGCTTGAGTGTCCTAAATGGCATCACTGCCCAAGAGATGAACACAGCTCAAAGACTTTTATGACTTAGCTTCAAAAGTCACACACCATCACCCTTGCATTATTCTATTGGCCAAGCAGATCAGCCTTTTTACAATGTAGGAGGGGATTCCAGAAAGGGAGTAAACCCAGGACGTAAGGATCATTGGGGGTCACCTTGGAGGCTTGCTACCACAGATGACTAGTAAGCTTCTCAAATCTAAATGTACAAGTAAAACCTCCTGATTTTCCTCCCCAAAGTCCTCCACAGGCTTCACTATCTCAGGTAATGGCAAAGCATTCTTGCCGGTTGTTTGGGCCAAAACACATGGAGTCATCTTTGACTCTCTCCTCTCACACCTCATCCCCATCTGCTCTGGTCTGTCAGCTAATCCTGTCAACTCAACCTTAAAAATATATCCACAGTGTGACCATTCATATCTTCCAGCATATTTCAAGCCACCATTTCCTTCTAGATTATTGTAACACCCTAGTAACTGCTTCCCTATTTGCTCCACTTCAGTCTATTTTCAAAACAGAAGGATCTAATTAAAATGTAAATTAGATTATGTTGCACATAATCAAACAAAAAGAAAAAATAAAAATTCTTAAAATTGCCTACAATGTCCTACACTATGTGGTCCCCATTTCCCTTCAGACCCTGTAATAAGGAAAAAATCAGACCTGGCATTGAGTTGACAGTATAGTGAAGACACACATGACCAGTTCTTATCAACTCTACCTCTAATATATACTTGAGATTAACAAATAATCAGAAATATAAATATGAAATTACAAAATGTGCTTAGAGCTATAAAGGACATCAAAGTCTACTAGGGGGAATCAAGAAAAGTTCTCTGAGGAAGAGACATTTGGACTGACAACTGAAAGGTGAACAGGAATTAGCTAGGTGAGTAGTGGAGTGGAGGATGGGGGAGAGTACCAAGGTAGTGGAATGGGGAGGAATCCTGACAGAATATCATGTAGAGAGATCTGAGGCTTACTGTAGAAAAAAGATAGTGTGCCTGGAGCCAAGAGACATTATAAGACTTAAAGAGATCAAAGAAATATGAATTAAATCAACACAAAATCAGGATTTGATCCTGACTTCGGAAAAAAATATTTGCTATCAAGGATGGCATTGGGACAATAAGCAATATTCTATCAATTTTAATTTCCTCAATTTGATAATTGTACTGGGACTAAATTGTTTCCAGGCATGAAGAGATATTTATAATCTGTTCTCAAAAGGTTCAACAGAAAATAATAGGAATTATAACATGCATACTGTTATACATAAGGAAAGATAATGTATATAAAGAAAGATAAAGCAAATGTGACAAAATGTTAATATTGGGAAGAAATTCTGTTCAGAGACACAGGAAAGAGTGAAAGATGAGGAAGGAATTCATTCATTAAAGCGAGAATAGCAGGGAATGACAGCTGCCTTGCAGGCAATAGAGAGCAAGGAAGAACAGAGGAAGGACTGGAAGCTTTCCTGCTTGGCATAGGGCAAATCCCTTGTGAAATCCTAAAGCCAGGGTCACCTGGCTTTGTCCAGTGTCTGCCTGAATCTGCACAGCATGGGAATTAAATTCCTACCACCCCAGGATATGGGGGAGCCACCGAATACTGGATGGAGTGAGAATATGTTCTGAAACTTTTCAAAGACAAAGGAGATTTTTAGGCAGCCTTCTCAAGAGCATGACTGCACAGCTGCAGTCCTGTCTGGGTCACCCAGGCGATAGGAACTTGCAAGCCCAAATCAGAGCTCTCAGTAGTCCCTCCCTACTTATCTGGAGTAGAACAGAGAGGGAGTGAAGGCTTTTGTGCTTAAGTCTAGAAAACAGAATGAAATAGCAGATTAACAACGATGCTTATCACTGGAAGAGCGCAGAGACAAAAATGTAATAAATTGAGCAGCAAGAAGTTTTTATTTAAGGCAAAGAGGGCACATTTGAAGAAAGGGGAGTGTGGGCAACCTCAGAGAGAAAGAGTGCTTAAGGGTTTAGGGTTTGGGGTTTTATAAGGCCTTTTGGGCAAGCGTTAGCATAAAGCATGATGTATACAAGTGATTCATAATTCCTTTGAAGTTTTCATAATTCCTTTGAAGTCTTGTCTCAAGAACAGGGTTATTTAGGTGACTGTGTTGGTCCAGATCTCAGCATTCTTTGTCCACCTAGGTTTATTTATACTTGGGAGGTTTATCTCCTGTGCTGGTTCCAAAGTTACTCAATTGATTTGGGGCTTGAAGAAGAGGAAGAACAGAGTATGGATTAAGTTAAAGAATAAACTGGGCCTTTTTCACAGGCTAAGTAGATTTACAATGGCATGATCTAATTGGCAGAATGAAGACATGGGCTGCACTCTGATACTTTCCTTTATTGGGGGATTTGTTTATCTGGGGAATATATGGACATTCCAAGTCACTCCTGGCCTTCGAAACTTCAACTAATTAACTCTGTGAGTCCTTTCTGGCTCTCTGGTTGTATCTGGTTAACTCTTGAGACTCTTTAGTGGGCTTTACTGGCTTTATTCACTCTCCACCCCATTTATGTCAGTCTTTCTAACATTAACAATGAATGTTGGTGAAAAATATGGGGGGTCTTTGCGACTTATTCTAAGGATCCACATTTTTTTCAAAATGAAAAAAATTTTAAATTTCACTCTGGCTGAGATAACGGAAACTCAATTTCAGGATTATCATGCATCAGTGGTATGAACTTATTTAGCACTATTGGGGTAGCTACCAGTGGAAATATGTAAAAATGGTTCCCTCTGGGAGTAAAGACTAAGGTTCAGAGGTTGGAAAGAGGCTGTGTTTTCCAAAGTATACTTTAAAAACAAAGAAAATAGGGATATCACTGGCTTATCCTAAAGAAATATGGCGGATTTAAGAGGAAGTGGTGGAGGCAGCAATCATACATAGAAGCATTGTACCTGAAGTTAGAAGACATGATTCCAGTCTTCTAATAATACGTACCAGCTATGTGTCCTTGGATAATAAATCTCTTTGAACTACAGTTCTCCTTAATTCACTTGGGATACCAATTACTTCACGGGAATTCACAAGATCAAAAGAAATAAAATCTATGTGTTAATTCACTATGTAGTATTAAAAGTACTTCAAAAATGAAACTAATTTAAAAAACTATGATTGTCTTCCCATATTGCCTATAAAAATTTTTCATGTAAACCAGATAGTAGTTACTCCATTTGCAGTTGATGCTTTCACCCATATCAGTTAAGTAGGATTCAGAGCCTCTTCATTCTCTCCAAAAGAATTGCATGCTGGAGAGAAACTGCATTCTTACAGAGGATTTTGAGGGAATCCAGAGGTTTTATACCACAAATCCCATAGCGAACAATGGCATCAACTTCCTGTCGAGATGCATCTCCCTAGTCTTAACTAAGATCAGCTTGAGCTTCTCATTCTTTATCTTCTCTAGCTTCTCTCTTCTCCCCAGAAACTCTCCTCCTGTCTCTCAACCTCTTCCTCTCTCTTCTTACATGAATTAGTTTAATTCTTCCAAGCATATATTTGAAAATGTCCCCTTTAGTACTAGTTCTCTCCCTGCTTTTGAAGGCAGCAGAGAATCACAAATAACAAATAGTTTTTAATGACAAATCATAAATAACAAATCTTGCATAGGTAACTACCGAGGTCTATTTCTGAGCCTTCAACTTTGTTCTGGTAATTTTTCCTTGCATCAAAACCAGTACAGATACCTCGTATACAGACCCACAAGCAAATTCGCAGGCAGCAACCCACCACCTCGCGGTCCCAGCCCACTGGGCGCAGGCGCGTCACGGTCACCAAGTCCCACCCAATCGCGGTATTTCTCTCCCCCGGAACCCGTGGACCGGAAGCTGAGGAGCGGAAGAGGCGCGGGCGGGGAAGAAAGACTGGGGCGCCCTTCGCTCCTCCCCGTTCGGCCGCGGCGGGACGGGTGGGGCGTGGTTACCACGAGCAGTAGGCGATGGCGCTCGCCGCGCGGCTCTGGCACTTCCTCCCTTTGGGCCGTGGCGCCGCCGCGGGACCTGGGCTAGCGAGAGGTGTCGCTGGCAAACGCAGGTGGTGCTGTACTTGGCGACTCCGCGGCCCTAAGGTATCCCGGCCCTTCTGGCTCCCGCTGCCCCACTGCAGGCAGGGCTCCGGCGGCCCTTCCTTCAGGCCTGGCCGCCCCGCGCCACCTTAGGGACTGTGTTGAAGTGAAGAAGAAACTGGGCCAGCTGTGCCTGGAGCGCGCCCGGGACCGCGGCGGACAGGCCCACACCTTTTCGAAAGCCTCCTTTCCTCTGCGAAATCTGAGGTCGGAAAAGGAGAGAGTGCCCCCACTTCATCTTCCCCGAGAATCTGTCTCTTGCCTGCCGTTTTTCTGTGAAAATACAAAAATGTACATACTGTGGGGGGAAAACCTTGGCTGCTGTGAAAATTTTCGTTTTCGTTGATGCCGTTTACAGGTACACCTGAGGCTGTCAGTCTACCAGACTGAAAAGTTTGTGAACTATTTAGGTTGAAAAAATTACTTTTGAGTACTTTGTTTTATCTGCACAACCTTGAGGAATAATATTAGGATGTTGGATTGTCGTTCCAATTTCGGTAATTCTGCGTTCGTGGGCCTTGGTTTATCTGTGAAAGGGAATTGGAAGGGTGAGTGGGTGCTGGTCCATATGCTGTATATCATTTGAACTAAGTATTTCATTATTTTAAACTCTAAAATTCACATTCTGACCGCCCGCTATGTTCAGAGTTAATGGGATAAGAGAGCGGGGGCAGTAAAGCTTGCAAAGCCAGAACCCTTTCCTCGGACAAGCTTATAGCCAGATGGGGAGGTGTTAGGTGTTAACAAGGCAGAAGGATGGGAGGAGTACTAAGTATGAAATTAGCCTAAAGTTTTTTAAAATTCCATTTTGATAGAGTGATCATAGTTTAGGTAATAATAATAGCTAACATTTATTCAAGGCTTACTACATAACCTGTATAGTGTTACGCATTACCTCATTTAATCTTCATTTACACCGTATGACATAGGAACTGTTATTTTAACCATTTTTTAGAAGAGGAAACTGATAAAAGGTTAAATAATGTGCCTAAGTTAAACAGATAGAGATGCTGGATTTGGTGGCAGGAAGGGTATCTCTAGAGCCCATGAGCTGCACATAGCCACTGTGCTAAAATACTGAAAACTAGAGAAACAAGGTAGAAAAGGATAGAAAAATATTAAGATTAGCAGGGACAAGAAAGACATGTAAGCAATAAAATTCTACTCTGAGCCAATGGCAATAATGAAAATTCATTCCTCCCTCTAGGTATATTGAATTTTTAGGAAGGTGGGAACTATTACCGATTTACCAGTTATTCACATGTTTTCATAGCCCCTACCATATCTGTTTTTCTTTTTTCTAGACATTTTTCTTAGCATGTTGTTAATAAATTGAATTGGAGATATTTATACCCCAGGTGTTTGCAGAGATTAGGCTCTACTTTTGTGTGGCTGAAGAGATTTCATTTTTCTCTTTTTCTGTTTGTAATCTGTATTACAAAACATCCATCTCTGAATGTGTATTTTTCAACAGATTTGTACTGAATGCTTACTGTCAGCAAGGCTCTGTTATTTTAAGCTTTGTGGATATAATGAACATGAGAAACAAACCCTTTTCTCATTGATCTAATAAATTAGAAGGAAGGGTAATTCACTGAATGAATGTAATGCATGCCAAATGTTAGGAATAAGGGAAGCAAAGTGACACCGACATGACCTTGAAGGGAGGGAGGGGAAAGGGGAGGAATAATTAAGAGGAAGATGAGGACAAAAGGATATTCCAGTAGAGAGTAGTGTGATAATAGGCCTTGAGGTAAGAAAAGGTGATGTTTTTGAGCAACTGAAAAGTGTGACTGAAGAGGGGAGTGGGAGAATAAACTAAGGCTGAAAAGCAAGTACCAGTTTATTGTTTATCTATTACTGCATAACAAATTTCGCAAAATTTGATGGCTTGAACAAAAAATGTTTATTTTTTGCTTAAGATATTTTTTATTGAAGTATAGTTGATATACAATGTTATATTTATTTCAAGTATACAAAATAGTGTAAACATTACTAAATTCTCACCCTAACTAGTGTAGTTACTGTCAACATAGAAAGATGTTACAGAGCTGTTGACTATATTCTCTGTGCTGTATTAACAAATTTTATCATCTCATGGTTTTTCTTGTGAGAAATCAGGTAAGGCTTAGCTGGGTGCCTCTAGATGAAGGTCTCTTATAACGTTGAATCAAACTTCAGCTGCTGAGGTCTCTTTTAAAGGATCAAGTTAGGAGTAGAGGGAAAGTTCTGCTTCCCAGCTCACTCATGTGGGCAGGTCTTTGTCTCTTACCAGGAAGGCTTTTTAACAGTGCTGTCCCAAGACAGAGCTGCTAAATTCCTCCAGAATGGCAAGCAAGGAGAAAACCACAGTTTGTCAAATATGGAGGTCATAGTCTTTTTATAACTTAATCTCAGAAATGAATAACACCTCTTAATTTTTGCATGTTCTGTTTCTTACAAGGAGGTCTGTAAGTCCAGCCTACATCTAAGGGAAGGAGATTACACAAGGGAGTGAATATCAGAAGGCAAGGATCATTGGGGGCCATTTTATTTATTTATAACGAGATATAATTTACATAACATTAGTTTCAGTTGTACAACATAATGACTCAATATTGGTATATGTTGTGAAATGATCACCACTAAGTCCATCCATCTCCACACAGCTACAAAATTTTTTTACTTATGATGATATTTAAGATTTTGAGACTTAAGATATTATTTGAATGTCTTTCTCTGTCTAATTTCACTTAGCATAATGCCCTCAGGGACAGTCCATGTTGTCACAAATGGCAAGATTTCCTTCTCTTCTATAAAAGGCTGAATAGCAATCCTTTGCATACATATACACACCACTTTTTTTTTAATCGAATTATTGATGGACATGTAGGTTGCTTCTAAACTTTGGCTGTTGTAAATAATAACCTCGAACATGAGAGTGCAAATATCCTTTTTAATAAGTATTTTTGTTTCCTTTTCCAGAAACAGAATTGCTGGATCATATGGAAATTCTATTCTTAATTTTTTAAGTAACCTCCATACTATTTTCCATAGTGGCTGCACCAATTTACATTCCCACCAAGAGGGCACAACAGTTACCTTTTCTCTACATCCTTGCCAACACTTGCTATTGCTTGTCTTTTTCATAGCAGCCATTCTAACAGGTGTGAGGTGATATCTCATGCATTTTTTTATTAAGGTTTCATTTATATACACTCTTATGAAGGTTTTATATGAAAAACAATGTGGTTACTACATTCACCCATATCATTGAGTCCCCCCATGCCCCACTGCAGTCACTGTCCATCAGTGTAGTAAGAAGCCACAGAGTCACTACTTGTCCTCTGTGCTACACTGTCTTCCCCATGATTCCCACCATACCATGTGTACTAATCATAATACCCCTCAATCCCCTTCTCCCTCCTTCCCCACCTGCCCTCCTCTACCTCTCTCCTTTGGTAACTGCTAGGCCCTTGGAGTCTGAGTATGCCTCTGTTTTGCTCCTTCAGTTTTGCTTCATCGTTATACTCCACAAATGAGGGAAATCCTTTGATACTTGTCTTTCTCCGCCTGGCTTATTTCACTGAGCATAATGTTCTCCAGCTCCATCCATGTTGTTGCACATGATAGGATTTGTTTGTTTCTTATAGCTGAATAGCATTCCATTGTTTATATGTACCACATCTTCTTTATCCATTCATCTTCTGATGGACACTTAGGTTGCTTCCATATCTTGGCTATTGTAAAAAGTGCTGCAGTAAACATAGGGGTGCATATATCTTTTTGAATCTGAAAATTCGGGTAAATTCCTAGGAGTTGAATTCCCGAGTCAAATGGTATTTCTACTTTTAGTTTTCTGAGGAACCTCTGTACTGCTCTCCATAATGGTTGAACTAGTTTACATTCCCACCAGCAGTGTAGGAGGGTTCCCCTTTCTCCGCATCCTCTCCAGCATTTTTTGTTTCTAGTCTTTTGGATGTTGGCCATCCTAACTGATGTGAGGTGATATCTCACTGTGGTTTTAATTTGCAATTATTTCCCTGATAATTAGCGATGTAGAGCATCTTTTTATGTGCCTGTTGGCCATTTGAATTTCTTCTTTGGAGAACTGTCTCTTCATATCCTCTGCCCATTTTTAATCGGGTTGTTTGCTTTTTAGTTGTTGAGACGTGTGAGTTCTTTATATATTTTGGGTGTCAACCCCATGTTGGATATGTCGTTTACAAATATGTTCTCCCATACTGTAGGATGCCTTTTGTTCTGCTGATGGTTCCCTTTGCTGTACAGAAGCTTTTTAGCTTGATGTAGTTACATTTGTTCATTTTTGCTTTTATTTCCCTTGTCCAAGGAGATGTGTTCAGAAAAAAGTTGCTCATGTGTATATTCAGGAGATTTTTGTCTTTGTTGTCTTCTAAGAGTTTTATGGTTTCATGACTTACATTCAGGTCTTTGATCCATTTCGAGTTTACTTTTGTATGGAGGGTTAGACAGTAATCCAGTTTCATTCTCTTGCATGTAGCTGTCCAGTTTTGCCAACACCAGCTGTTGAAGAGGCTGTCATTTCCCCATTGTATGTCCATGGCTCCTTTATCACATATTAATTGACCATATATGCTTGGGTTTATATTTGGGCTCACTAGTCTGCTCCATTGGTCTATGGATCTGTTCTTGTGTCAGTATTATCTCATGTGGTTTTAATTGGCATTTCCTTGTTGATTAGTGATGTTGAGCACCTTTTCTGTATCTGTTGGACATCTGTATTTTTTTTTTTGAAAAAAATTTTTTTCAGTTCCTCTGCCCATTTTTAAATCAAATTTTTTTTGTATGAGTTTTTTATGTATTTTGTATACTAACTCCTTATCACATACATAATTCACAAGCATTTCTCCTAGTTGGTAGGTTGTCTTTTCATTTTACTGATGTTTTTCTTTGCTGTGCAGAAGCTTTTTAGTTTGAGAAGTCTCACTTGTTAATTTTTTGTTTTACTGCCACTGCTTTTAGTGTTAAGTATAAAAAAGCAC